TTACATGTCATATGTCTTTTTTGAATCATGCACGTGGTTTCCTCTTCAAGGAACAGGTGGTTTTTAATTTGATAATACAATGATATATCATTAAATCTACTATATATTGTTTGTCTGTAACGTCCTGAGTTTCACCATAGTAATTTTTCATATATGTTACGTCCATATTTCACATACACTGTAAGTTGTTTTGAATTATTATTTTATAAATATGACTAGTCTTTTACCCTTATTGTAGCATCCCTGATGATGATAATAAAGATTATTGAAACCTTGGAATCTGTGTTATAAGAGTACACTAAGTTGGCCTGCTGCATACCCAAATATTGTTTCACTCATTTTCTTGACATGATTTTTTTCTTCTTCAAAAAAAAATGTTTAAACAAATGTTGTCAATAAGAATTTCTCTTTGGACAATAAAGCATATTTATTTTTGACGCCCTTAGATGGTATGGACGAGATATTGGGCGCCAGCCTTGTGAATTTTAAGTGGCACACTACACTGGGCAGCTACAGTGAAAAAATGGTAATCCAGGGGTCTGTGTATTCTAGACAGATTTTACTTTGACATTCAACGTGTTTACTACTAGCTGCAATAAAAATGCATGCTGTTTTTCGGAATAAATATCATTTATACTAAACTAATGAATGTAGCCATTACTATGTGGTAGAAGATCATCATGAAAAATGATAAATAAAACTTCCTGTTTTTTTAACCACTTGTATTTATAACTAACATTACTATAAGGACATTTTCAAATGAATACAATTTATTGTATCAGTTTGAAAATACAAATATTTGTATTCATTTGAAAATGTCCTTATAGAACATATACCTTATAGTTACAAATACAAGTGTTCACCTATTTATCCTATAACTACAAATATTTAAATTATTCAAGAGGCTTATGTATCATCTTTCAAAAGGTTTATATTCTTGTCATCAAAAATAAAACAGTCCAATTTAGCATCCCTATTCTCTAATTATTCATGTAAAATGTTTAGGAAATTCCTCACATTTTCTCTCCAACATAACATAATTTCAAATTCAATATCCTCCTACAGAAGAAAAGTATCGTTTTACCCTTCCAGGTTTCAGAGACAAACCTTCTATTTCATTACTGGTCAAAATAATTTCAATTCCTTCCCTTTTATTCTTCTTTGAGCGAGTATTCAAGTGAGTAATTTTGAAAGCATTATCTATTTTTGTTGGATATTGTAATATCAACGGATATTCGAAAAAAATTTATTATTGAAGTTACCATATTTCTTTAGGTAATGAATTATTAATATAATTGTTTAATCCTGCGATACATATACAATATCTGAATAAGATTTACAATGGTTTATACTCAATGAATTGTATTGTTCTTCCATTATACCAATTTCAATTTTTTTTTCTTTTTCATTATACCCTTGTCCAGAATATTTGATATTGAAAAATTATAGATTTCCTTTTATAAAACATTATCTTCACATGCTAGGAATCGCACGTAAAAAAGAAACCGCGTTAATCCCTAGTTCCCACAAATTAAGACTTTTAAGGGCCCTTGATAATTTCTTTCAACAGTGACATTGTTTCGAATTATTGATAGTTGATTTTACGAAATTATTTTTAGAAGCATTATTTTCATCATTTTCAAATGATTCATCAATAATGTAGGTGAACGTGAATTCAGACAGATTTTTTTATACATGAAAATTTTAAATACAAATATTTTTCTTAGGACTGGTCAAAGTTCAAGAACATACTGTCAAGATATTTTCGAACAAGTTATGAATTAGTCTGAGGATTTTGAGTAATGATTCTTTTTAGTACTTTTGCTGAGAAAAATTATTTAGTTCACATCCAAGTTGTCAAAATACTGGTACAAGGATGGCCTTGGAAATTTGTTCATTAGTTTATTTCAAAATGAATCGAACAATACAAATTATTTCCAAAATAATAACAAACCATCCTTCCAATGAAATAAACAAATTCACTGTGATACTACATCTTGATTTGAAAGTTCTAGCAGAGTGTTATAAATTATTTCTTTTTTTGAATTTTCGATATCTTCTTCCGTTGCATGTTTCAGCAAATAATGATTATCAAACAGATACTTTCGATGAAAGTATTCCTCACATATCTGACAGCGGTACCTAGGGTTTCCGTGCTGAGTCATATGTACTTCCAATTCCTCTTCGGTATTGAACCTCTTCCAGCATACATTGCACCTGTTAAAGTCAAAAATTCTATAAGTACTTATTCATTTGAAATGGGTATTATATTAAGCAAATATTTATCAAACTAATTTTTCTGATTCACCACACAATTTGGGCAACGACCCAAATGATTTAGAGTCTGCATCATCCTTTCATGAGTTACTGAATGTGATGCATTTTCTATTTTAAAATAGATACCTATTAAAGGTTGTGTGTCAATGATTGCTGATCCATTCAATTCTGAAACAGACCTCTTCCCTGCTAACAAAGTTAGCATCATCAGGAATGTTTCAATCACCCTGAAGTTCTCATAGTATGGAGGGCATGCCAATATCAATCACCAAAGGCCACTTCTCACACATGAGGTAATTAATTACTGTATAGAAAAATCTTGTACCCTGAAAAAGTGCAGTAAGCTAAGAAAATGGCCTTCTGCAATTTCAACATTGGTGTTGCAAACCAGTGTGGTCTTGAGATATTATTATTATTAGTGCATGTCAACATTTTACCCATTACAACTATCAATTCTCTCAAAAAAGGTGGTAAATCAATCTAGGCAATGGTAAATCCGGAAAAATTTAAACCACAGAGAATTGTCAACAGTGAATGATTCATTTGATGTTCCGAAGTTGAGGGATCACTAGATCTAATATGTGTGATTGGTGACTTGTTTATTTTGTGGTAATTCATCACTTTAATGAAATGAATAAAAACACTTTTGTCTAATTGCCACAACTAGTGGTAATTAGACAAATGTGTTTTTATACAATTCATTAAAGGGATCACTAATAAAATACACTCTCTAAAGTTCTATAAGTCGAAATATAATAAAATTATCATGTTATCCTCTCCAACACGTGTTTCGCTTATGATAGCTTCTTCACTAAATAATTTATATATAAAAAAATCCTGCCTGAATAGTGTTGGCATAATTAAAATGTAAAAGATAAATAATAAGGGCAGGTAATTCAGTCTCCCCCACAAGCAATGACACTACAACAACTGAGTCGACGCACACATATACTTCTCTGTGATTCAATATTCTTAGGTTTTCAACTTTAGTAATAATTACTGTTCAATTTTCAGTCACAGTACATAATGCTATAATCATCTATTTTTATTCAACGAAATAATGCAAAAAGTCTTACCTATGGAACACTTTATTAGATTCCAGATGAGATTTTTCGTGTCTCTTAAGACTTGGCCATCTTTTATAGGTCAAGTCACAAAATTCACATTTGTATCTTTTCACTATCAGATGAGTCTGAAGATGGACTTTCAGTTTTTGAATGCCATTGTAATATTTCCCACAAAGTTTGCAAGGGAGAGGTTCATCTGAAAAAGTAAATCAATAGAAAATCATCAATATTATTAATAGCTAGTAGCCTGTCATCAAATGGATCCTAAAGTACTTAGTACTTACTTACTTATATACATCATAGTACTTATATGCTCCTATATCAATTCAATATATTCATTTATTACTTTCCAGCAAAGCAAGTTTTCATCCAATCCATTGAGGATAGGTGCAGAAATTTGTAATGAAATAATTGTGTTTTTTTTTGTTTATGGAGTCTGATTTGATTTTTATAACATCTGATATTTACAACAACTATACAGAGTGAGTTATCAAGATTCCTTCAATCATATTAACCAATAGTTTTCAAACAGTATATAATTAACTCTTTTCAAATGAGCTACCGTGTATTTTTTCATTTGGATGAAATACTTCAACATTTCCCTTAATTTTTCATTGGAGATTTACTATATAAAACATAAGTATTTTTTCAGTCATACCCAGTTTTAATACTTGTAATCAGAAAAACATACATATTCTTGCGTTCAGTATTAGAGTATCTTGAACATATTAACAACTCATCAACTAGTTAATTTGATTATGTTTCAGTAAGTATAAAATAGCTGGGCAATAGTTGAAATGGGAATTACAATACTATTGTATATCACCGATATTGTCCATGTAATGTATGAAATACTTCAACATTTCCCTACATTTTTCATTGGAGATGTACTATTAAGTATTTTTTCAGTCATACCCAGTTTTAATACTTGTAATCAGAAAAACATGCATATTCTTGCATTCAGTATTAAAGTATCTTGAACATATTAAACAAAAGTTTAAAATAGCTGGGCAATAGTTGAAATGGGAATTACAATACTATTGTATATCACCGATATTGTCCATGTAATGAAATAACTTGAACATCTGAATAAAAAGTACACTTTAAACATAACAACTCATCAACCAACTGATGAATGTATTAGTTTTAGATACCAACGCTTTATCATTAAGTTATTACCTTAGACAAAATACAGTAAAATAGAGTTTATTATTTAATGGGACAATTCAAAAATACTGTTACATTTACCAAGAGAACAAGCGGTTTGAATTCAACATCTGCTGCACAATTAAAAATTATATAACTGGTGTTGAACATCTTAAGCTCACATATTGAAATTATATAAATTACACTATGTCGATGAACTAGTTTCGAGTATACTCTGATGAGGGCCTTTTTTTCGTCACATCATCTAATGACTTAAATTTCTGGTATTTCAACTGTTTACAATAACCTTGTGAATATCATCGTAAAAAATATATCTAATCTCATTCATAGTTTTAGTTCATCAGAAATAATTATATCAATTTATTTAACTGTGATCTACAAATACAAAAATCTAAAAATGAATTATTATAATCTGGGAAAAAACTGCTATTTACTCAACTAATACCTATTTTCAATTAAGGAAAAAAGTGATGAGGATTTTGATTAGAGGCACATAATGAATAATTGAAATTACCAGTATTTCTGAATCGGAGAAATTTCCCTGGTACTCTGCACTTTACTTTTGATGAATCGGCATTCTCTTCTTCGTGACGCTTATAATGATTTCTCAAATAATCGGTCCTTGCAAAGGTTTGTTCACAAATATCGCATTTATAACGTTCAGCTTCTGTATGCTTCAATCTAAAAAATGAACCATCATATATAAGAAACAATTGGATGAGATCAAATCATGTTGTGTAGGAAAAAACTCTACACTCAAAACAAAACTTTTATTTAAAAAGGAAACTCAAAATTGTATATCCAGATATTCCCTCTGCAAGAAGGCCGGTTCTTTATGGAGAAGGTTTACCAGTTCCAACACCCCCGACAAATTCGAAGAAAGATTTGGAAATGTATGATGACCAGGAGGGTTCCCATGATGTGCCAGAAAAAGACGGTCCTTATTTTCCCGAGAGTGAAGGAAGAACATCCTATTTAATCAAATAACCTGATTTAAATGACCTAGTTCGGGACCTCCACTTGTCCAAAGAGAATGCTGAACTATTAGGGTCTAGATTACAACAATGGAATTTACTAGCCCCTCGTTTTTTACTATGCAAGATAAAATTTGTGTTTCTGTAAATCCAAATGGTGTAATGGAAAAATTAGGATTTGCACATATAACCCGGACGAATGGCGTTCTGCTCCATAATAGTAACAAAGGACCCTCTATTCCTCTTGCACATGCAGTTGCCATGAAGGAAACACACGAAAGTATGTCACTTATTTTAAATGCAATAAGTTAGAATACGTATAAGTGGCAAATATGTGGTGACCTAAAAGTCGTAGGACTATTACTAGGTCTTCAGGGCGGATTTACGAAGTTTTGCTGTTTTCTTTGCCTTTGGAACAGTAGTAGGGCAACACAGAGCCATTATCAAGTAAAAGAATGGCCTCCAGGAGATAAATATATTCCAGGTCAACCTAACGTGAAGAATATACTTCTTGTCAATCCCAAAATCGTTTTGTTACCTCCATTACACATTAAACTGGGGTTAATGAAAAATTTTATAAAAGCATTAGACTTCTGTAATCTTTACTGTAATTGACATGTTCTTCACCTGAAACGGTTTTTTATTAAAAAGAACTAATAAAGGCTATCCATCTATCTATGAAACCGTTACTTTTATGAACGGATCCCCTTTCTGGGCAGTCAGCTCGCACACGTCTTGACTTTAGAGAGTTGTTCATATAGGGACGACAGCTATTCGAGGGAGAAACCTATTTTAAACTATTATTTTTTAAAGAACACTCACTTATAGTGGGCCTTCAATGCTGTGCTGTTTTTGAAAATTTTGGGGCACTTGTCACATATTATTGATACCTCTTCATGAAGAGCAAGGTGATCTTTGAGTAATAATTCGCTGAGAAATCCTTCTCCACATAAGTCACAGATGTACACATTTTCAGCTTCCAGTGGTTCAAAAAAGGTAACACCTTCATTTGCTAGGGCAATTCTGAAAAATAAATCATTCAGATAGATTATAATAAATAAAACAATAATATAAATAAAACATTGTGAAACCTTGTCAAAAAAAAAGGGAAAATAAATTCAAACACAGACAGAAAATATGTGAGTATTTTCTGATACTAATCGTGGTTTTTGCAGAGGCACTCCGCTAAATCAACCATTTGTAGATATTTAGAAAACATAAATTTATCGAAAGTAAATTATATATTCCAGGATTCAGAGACGTCTTCTTAAAATGGATCATTGGCTTTTTGAGTAAATCTATTCTCATTTTGGAATGATTATAACTTCAAAATAAAAAAATATCTGCTCCAATAAAATCCAAGACAATAAGTCACCTTTTTGCTCATCAATTTTTAATTTTTCCACTGCACATTTTTCATTGGTAAAAGTTATTATCTACCACATAGATTTCAGTCATTTATTCATTGCCTAGTACTCTGAAGAATCTCAAACTTACAACAGTTTCAGTAAATTCTGTTTTCAAAAAAAATTTAGAAAGGTATTTTCAGAATGGAAACTCAAAACATTTCTCATTAACCAAACCGTTATTTTAACACCTCTTAATCTTCCTCTTGAAGATGATCACTTGGTGATCGAAACACGTGTCGAGGTGTTAAAATAATGGTTTCGTGTTGGGAAAAAACTCCAGTAATATTTATGACTTAGTATATGATGAATAATTATTACTCAAACTTACGAATTAGAAGATTCCATATTTTCTCTCTTAATAGAAATGATTTCCTTTTCATCAGACTCCATTGCTTCTATTTCTGCCATAGTAATCAGAGTAGAATCACTTTGAAAATATGTTGAATTTTCTTGTGAAAGTTCGTAAGTTCCATCCTGTGAAGTTTCTTCGGACTCATCAACAGGTTCTTGAATACCATTTGGTATAAACTCATCATTTTGCTCCAAATAAGCTTCCCCATCCTCACTTTCTAACTTAATATAGGCATGATCATGTTTCATATTTTCTGTTGAATCATCATTATTTGTAATATCTGTTTCTTCAAAATATTCCTGTAGGTCTGCCATAAAAAAAAAAACAAACAATTTAATACAACACCTAAATCAATGTAATGTTTGGATATTCTTAGAAGTACGTGATATTTAGAAAAGTTCTATAAATTTTTTTAGGTAAGTGCAAAGTATTTTCATAAATTCATCAATTTTGCTATAATGAACTATTCATCACTTGGACCAGTAGGGAGTCAACATTAAGATCAATCACATTATTCCAGAAAACTTTAAAAAACATACAAAATTTAATGGTCAATCCAGTCTGAGTCACTTGTAAAAAGCTTGCTACGGGCATTATTCACTACTCGTGAATACACCCTTTTTTATCAAAACCATTTTGAAAAATAACGTATCATCTTGAATCATCAAAGAAAAAAATTGTTGAAAAAATGGCTGGTTGGATGTTTTCCTGATCACTTTGAGGTGCATAGTTAAATCTCAAAATTCATAGTTTTATATCACTACCAAACTCTCCTTGAAATAGAGTAATATGTAGTTAAAAAATGAATATTACTGGAGTTTCTTTCCCAACACCAAATCGTTATTTTTAACAGCTCGACACGTGTTTCGATCACCAAGTGATTATCTTCAAAGAGGAAGATTAAAACTAGAAACTTATGCGAAGCTAACCCTATTTATGCTATATAGGTATCCCATACAGGTAAACCATCCAGGTGTACTACCCATACAGGTATACCAACCTAAATTAATTTTATAATTTTGCCTATCCAAATTTGGATAGGCAATAGTGTGAAATTAATTTTTATATAGCTAAAAATTGTTTTATGAAAACATATATTGTAAAATAATAGGTAAGCCAAAATTGTAAAATTAATTTAGGTTGGTATACCTGTATGGGTGGTACTTCGAGGTGTTAAAAATAACGATTTGGTGTTGGGAAAAAACTCCAGTAATATTCATTACTACACCAAAGGTTCCAAACAGTGCATCATAAGTAATATGTAGTTAGGAATGTATGCTTACTTGGTAACTTGAATGCTACGTCCTTTCAAGGATATCTATACTTGACTCTTTCCATTGAAGTTGTGAACATTATAATCAGATCACTCTTAATAATAACAACATTGTAAACAATGTGACAATATGGATCGAGGATAGATTATTTTAGATTTCTTTATGCTGTTTTATTGTATCAACATTTTGTCCTCACATTCCATTCTGTTATTTATTAACAGCGGTGGTCATTTTAGAATTTTAAAAATACTTCTACAGATTTTTGTAAAAAGACAGGCTAACAAGAATGCATATATACTTAACAGTTAGATATTGTTAGTCTCAGACACCCTTTATACACTGATATTCCTAATATGTTGACATGTCACTATGTGCCACTAATGCCTCATATTCAAAGAACTGTTTGCAATTCCAAATTTTATAGAGCAAGATCCCAGGATCCCCAGACATTACTAATTTTCACATGAATAAAATGTATAGGATAAAGTAGTGTTACTTAGTAAATACTTTTAGTGTATGTATACCTGCTAGCTTGGACAGACGGCCAATGTACAGGTATAGTATATACGTAGTCAATTTGAATGGCACAAAAAGTTATCGAATGTCGGCAGTTTCTTTGTATAGCACGGGCGGCATGCTATAATACAAGGGAGGTTTTATATGGTATTAATTAGTAAATTTATCAGACCTGGTACATTAGTTTTTTATTTAGCTGTTTGAATTGACTTTGTATAGACTATACCAGGTGCTAAAAGGTAGGTAAAAACAGTGCTTATATTTTTTATAACCTCAAAGCTGATTTCTAATCACCCTTTCCATCGGCGGTAACTTTTACCAGACGATTTAAAGCTCCCAAAAATTTTAATTTTAATCTTAGTCTCAATTTTTATATATTATACTCAGTGAACTCTTTCGATTTTTTCTTTAAGCAGCCAGACCAAACTGAAGAGCCAAACATTCGTCCACTTGAGTGGACGGATGGAGCATCAGTCCCTCTCTTATACTTACTATTCCAGTTCACACTATATCTGTGTGCATTTTGATGTTGTAACACGTCTATTCAATGTAGCTGTGATTTTAGTTATAACGTGTTTGAGTAAAATAAAAACATTAGCAGTGTTTAAAAAAAATCATGTCAGCATCATTGAATTGTTTTCTGTAATAATTCTGATAATAATTTAATATTATTCACGGAAGACATTGGAAAAGTGTCAAATGATATTGAAACATCAAAAGGAACATAAGCTAAAATTTAAAATGTTTCGCCGGCAGATTTATTTGAAAGTGGTTCATAGACAAAGCTATTTACAGGTTTGATGAAAAAATATTATTCTACAAGAGTTAAAAGTACAAAAAAATCTATTCCAAAAAAAAATCGGATAAGAGTGTGAAAAATTCATCAGCAGCACGTTCATCGACATGCGTGCTAAATCAAAAATGTATTGAGCCACCATCATCTCTACTACAACTTTCAAACCCAGCAACTTCTATACCTGACTGTATTGCAATACCTGAGTCAGTCGATCCAGATCTATCAAATTTACTGAAAAATAATGCACAGGTATAAAATATTGATTTACCTTTCAATACTAATACTTTGGTTGAAAGTAATATAAGTACTGAACAAAGCAATATTACCTGTAAATTGAAAAGTAGTAATCACAGATGAAATGGCTGATGCAAGTGAGAACTTCATCTTTTTTTTTTAATAGAAAATGAAAAAGTTATTGAACTAATTAATAACTATGACATTTACAAGCAGCAAATTCTTAACTGTGAATTTGGTAAAACCCCACGGTTTTTATATTAATCTTCAATATTGATTCAATAATATCTAATCTTATCAAGAAGCATTCACACAGAAGACTTTGAACTGTTTGAATTTATAGGAACTACACGTTAAAACGTAAGACCTCGTTAATCCTTAGCTCGCACAAGTTTGGACTTCTAAGGCTTGTCGTTCGTAGGGGTGCGACAGCTGATTAACGGAAAAACAGAAATCACCGAAAATCTCAAATTTGTTTTTATTCAAAGAACTAACAAACCTTCTTTCAAACGATTGACTTAGTCCTTGAACAAATAATCAACGCAGATGACACCAGGAGACTAGCAGGCATAATATAAATCACCAACTCTATCACAGCCCAGCAGCAATGGGCTTTTAGCCATGATATAATATCGACAAAAATTCGTCATGTTTATAAAGATTTAGAGCTGGAGAGCCAAATGGAACAGCTGAGTTAACTAATTACAATATGAAAAATAATATCAATTTTAAATCCTCTACTGATTATAAATGGTGAATAAACTATAATTTTATTGAACCGATTGTCTTTTAAACCATAAATTTTACAAAAATATATCCAATTGAAAACATTCACCATAAGTCATCAAAGGTTTGTTAACAATTATGTTTAAAGAATTAAATTATATAAATAAAACCCCACTTAGATGGCCATGACTTCAAATCTAAATGTATTGTTTGATGCTCTGAACAACTTTTTTGAATAACATTTCCCGAGATTTTTCAATCTATACTTTACTTTTCTCTCAAAATCAAATATTTGAAGGCTCATCGTAAATTACGTGTGTTTTACTGTATTTCGTTGGTGCATATTTAGTTTTAGGGGATGCACAAACTTTTATCACGAATAACTTTTAGTCGAAAAATGATTAATAAATAAGTTTCCCATATGGTGCATACTTTGGGGATGACACTATATGTGCCTGGATCGCGTTTGGTGCTTCCAACTGGCCCGGCTGCTTAAAGAAAGTATTGAAATAGTTTCTTGAGTATAATATATGAAAATCAAGACTGAGATTATGAATAAAGTTACATTATTTTTTTTAGGAACTTTAAAGCATCTGGTGTAAGTACTTCCAACAAAAAGTGTCCGGCAGTAATGATTATTTTCAACAGCAATTTTAAATCAAATCAAAATATATTTTACTACCCAAGATCTGAACATCTTATTGGTAAAGTCTAGTAAAGTAAAACGTGTATATGGTACAACTAACAAATATAAACTATAAAATAATGCTTATAGACAAGAACATATACAAATATAAATACATGAATATATGAATATTGAGTAAATGTAAATATATAATGCTACGTAATGAACATTGATAGCCATTTCGTGTTGATTTCAATAACTTGTTTACACAAAGCTATATGCCAATTACACGATAGAACATACATAAAAATCAGCTATGAGATTATAATTTTTTTATAATGTAAGCACTATACCCACCTTCAGCACCTGGTACCTATGAAGTGGCCATCAGTCCAAGCTAGCAGATATACATACACTCAAAGTGTACTGAAACTACTTCATCCCATACATTTTATTTGTAAGAAAATAATTAATGTCGGAGGGCAACGAGATCTTCGACAATTGTTTCTAGATGTTGCAAGTAATTTTATAACAATTATAACTTTGTCAATATTGCTGTATGTCCTGAATAATTTATCTTGAAGATCACTGAGTAATGTAAACAGTAAATGAATTTTGGCGATTTACCATCTTCAACTACAATCTGAATATTCTCCACGATTTCAATATTTCCATCAAGATGTAAACTCTGTATGTTCTTTCCAGCAAGTTCATGTTGGTTGGGATGATTATTCTCTATGTCCAGACATTTTTCCAAGAATCGCATAAAGCATTTAATAGTTTTGAAACATATTCTACAAACTCGGTCATCATCGGAAAGTGTAGTTTCCTGCGGAAAGACAAAAGATAATTTATTTCTCGAAGAAGGTATCAAAATCTCACCATACGCGGGACAAACTGAATTAATATTTCCTTTATTGTTCTGTTTGAAAAACATCGTTGTACCACGTTAATGCCATCTTCTCCTGTGATTGACAAACAAGTTCTACAGGGAAAACCTTCCATGGTTATATTCGCAAAACATAAATTCCATTCAAAGGAACATAAAACCCATGAACCCACAAATCTGAACCAAATTGGATACCTTTTGAAAGATCACAACAGAACCCAATTTTGTCCTGTCCCTCACCCACAGCACAATTCTCTAAAACTTTCAAGCTTGTGATTATATTATGTCCTCACACTACACAAGTCACAAGTAACAGAAAAACAGGTAAGTAGAAATATGTCAAATGTCAATAGATCCAATTATGTTGGTAATATAGCGTTCTACTATTATTCGTATCCGACCGAGAGACTGAAAGCAAAGAGTGCACCGAGTTGAAAGCATGTTCGCCTATAGGCAAGGCATTTTTGAAAACCTTAATTCGAGGTGTAATAAGGTTCATTTAATTTCAATATTTAAAAAGGTTCATGTTACTACACAATGTAAACGACGTAAGAAGCACTGTCCGTCACTGGTCATCAACTCGAACACCATATTCCAGCGCGAAAGCACAGTACTGACACTTCAACTGACAGTTATGGAATAATAGCGTCTACATAGTCGAGCTTAGAGGCTAGTATTGCATAACAAGAGTTTAACTAGGGCATTTAATCCCTTCAAATGGATTGTTTACCTATCAAAGTCCGTTTAACTTTTGAGCGGCAAAATTTATTCTTATGCGAAAGCACAGTATTCAGTATTCCGTGACTACAGTACTGACACTTCAACTGACTGTTATGGAATAATAGTCTGTATACACTCGTGCTTAGAGGCTAGTATTGCATAATAAGGGTTTTATTTGGGCTTTTAATTCCTTCAAATGAGTTGTTTACCTGTCAAAGTCCCTTCAACTTCACATCATAAATTTATCTGGTATAAGCACAAAAAAAAAAAAATTAGAATTGTAAGTAACCATCATCGACATAAGTTTATGTCGATGGTGACCATACCATTGGCAGGAATGCAGGAAAGATTGCGCATCGTCGTAGCGCTTCCTAACTTGATTTTAATTGACATGTTGCCGATTTCATTGAGCCAATCGATTGTTAGCTCCATTGTAATATTGTACCTAAACTCGAGAAAGTGTTTTGTTTAAAATAGAGAAGCTTGTTGTTAGTGGCGGATGTGTGAATGCCGCAAGGAACTGTTTCAATTATTATTAGAAAAACAGTAATAAAACTTAAATTAAAAATGTAGAAATCAATCTACGCATAATAAACGCAATCTTTCAATAATACTTTTAGTTTTTTCATATATACTTGGTCATTGAAGAAGAGTATGTATATTTTTACATCCAAATGACGAAATCGGTCACAGGATAGAATAATTTCCGAGAAGACTTTGGGAAGTGAGATAATTTCTTAAATTTGATAGGTAATAATAATAAAACAGGTACTAAAATTACCTGAGAGTGATATTTAGTTACCTATTTGGCGACAGCATCAGTGAGTATTTCATTTTGTCATTCAAAAAGTGTTTGTGTTAAGTATTCTTTGATTTTTTTTACTTGAACATTTTATTTTAAAGATATTATATATCGCTGAAATAATTTTTTATAATTATATTGTGTATTACTTCATTCCCAAATACTGAAGTCGAAATCCATTAATAAGATTAAGTAGTTTGTGCCTTGTATCTTTGACTCCTTTGATCTCTGCACACGTCATAGGCGGATCCAGCTAGTTTTAAAGAGGGGCTGACCAAAGGATAACTTTATCAATGACTCATAAAAATATTGTTATAACTTTCCTTAGTTCCTTACGTGAGTTTGGCCATATTTTCAAATATTTTTAGTAATGTATGTAATTACTAAGGGTTTTATCTTTATAATTGTTTACACATACACACATACATGCCATAAGGGTTGAGCTTGTAAGTTAAGTTATTAAGATGTATAAGAACACACCTTCATTTTGTATGACCATAATACGGACTGACAAAGAATACAATAAAGTAAATAATAGAAACACTGATATAAATAAATATTAAAATGGAAATAATGAAACCATGTTTCATAATAGTTTTAAGGAGTTTATGGTTTTCACAGAATATTCACTTCAGGTAACGAAGTGTAACTTTCTTTTTTTCAATTTAGTGAATTCATCGACAATCTTGTTTGGGTCGATTTTGTCTGCTATTTCTCGATGAACATTCATGAGTGCTAACGACACCAGGCGATCTTCTCTTATGGTTGTTATCATCCAATCCTTCAGGCGCCTGAGGGTGGAAAAAGACCTTTCTACTGTGGCGTTGCTGAATGGAAGAGAGGCAAATATTTTAAGTAGAAGTAGATTGAATGTGGAAGACTTCATTGTCACACATAAATAAAACCTTTAGGGATGAGTCTGGGATATCAATGCCTGTCCCTTGCTGTTGTTCCAATTTGTTGCTATTGCGAAACTGTTTGAAAAGATCATCTATATAAAAGTGTTAGGGGTTTTGGCGAAAACATTAGTGATGAACAGCACGGATTTATTCCAAAAAAGTCGACGTCAACAAATCTACTAACATTCACTCATGTCCTCAACCATCTAGGTAACATTAAACAGGTCGATGTTATTTATACAGATTTTCAAAAAGCATTCGATAAAGTTAATCATGATGTGATACTGGAAAAGTTTTACATAGAGATGGCGTTGATACCCAAGAACTCAAATTGCTGGCATCGTATTTGAATAACCGACACTTCAGAGTCAAATATGAAGGTAATTGTACAGGGAAATTTCGCGCAAACTCTGGAGTCCCTTAAGGTTCAAACTTGGGTCCATTAATTTTTCTTATATTCATTAATGATCTAACTCAAAATATAAAGTACTCTGAGTGTCTTATTCGCAGATGACCTTAAATTTTATAGACAGATCAAAAACTTAAAAGATTGTGTCAAACTACAAGAGGATATCAATAGTGTTTGTCGACATATTTAAATGTTCTGTCCTGTCTTGTACCCTAAAACTAAATAAGACACTATACAATTACTTAATGAATGGTATTGAATTATCCAGGGTAGAGACTGTCAAAGATTTAGGTATATACTATAACTCCACACTCTCGTACAAACCCCATTTGGATTACATAGCATCTCAGGCACTAAGAATTATGGGATTTGTAATCAAAGTGCACATTTCAATGATATTAAAGTGATTACTACACTTTATAATAGTTTGGTCAGATCTAAACTTGAATATGGGTCTGTAATATGGCATCCTTCCTATATTGTTCATAAAAATTGATTAGAAAAAATTCAAAACAGATTTCTGAGATTAAGTATACCCGGATTATAACACAATTAGAAGCACTACGAAATGGATTTAAAATACCCAGTCTAGAAAATAGAAGACAGGCAAGTATAGTGTTAATTTGTTATAAAATATATAAAAAAAATTATAACTGTCCCAATCTCAAATCTTTACTGAAAGAGGGAATTCCCAAAAGAACAATTAAGATTCATTCAATTCTTCGATGTACCATATGTATAAACAAATAACTGTTCACCTATCATTACAATGATCAAAGTAACAAACAACTTCCTGTAAAAAAATACTTTTCAAGTTTAGAATAACTATGTTTTTTTCTTCCATTCGGCTTTATGAAGTAACTACTCGTAGATACAATGTAACTGTGTTCACGTGTAAGTATTAGAATTCTATTTATTATTTAGACTGTATTGACATTTTTTAAGAATAATTATTTTCATGTAATGAGGTTTTTACCTGTTTGAAAATAATCAAATAAATAAATAAATAGTAATTTCGTTCAACAATACAGTAAGGCTGATCTTGATAAATCCTTGAGGTCTGAGTAACTGAAATTAACCAAGCACGAAGGTATTAGCTTCGTGAGCTGATACAGACTGGCGGTATCAGGAGGAAGCCTATCCCGAATGTCTTGCAACACATTATTTATTTTAATAGGTTATATGCTGTAGCCCTATAGAAAGCTGCAGGCGTTTGATGTCGGTTGGGTTGCTCCGATTTTTCTGTTTTGTTGTCACTCTAGGCTCTAGGTAGTGTCATTTCTGTCCTAAGATCAAAATAAGTCCCTGAACCATTTCAAAATGAGTGAGTGATTTGAGATATCTTTGTTTTTTTCAGCGTCCTCCTTAATAAATTTGCCTTCTCTTGGTAGTTTGTTTTTGACTTTGGATTGATCTCCGGATTTCTTGATTTCTTTCTCTGTTTCTAAATTGATATTTCTTGACGGTGAACTTGGAGCACTATTAGAGGGTATTTGTGTAGAAATATTGTACGGCTTATTTTCTTTGAGCCTATCTAGTCCAAAAATTTCTTCATTCACCACCAGCGTTTTTCCATTTATTACAACAATCAGATTATTTGCTTTGCTTTCCTGGACAGGAATTTCTAATTCATGAATGAGTATATTATTCTTTCTAACTATTCTATCTAGATTGTTGCATTTCTTCTCAAGCTCTGTTCCACTTTCTCCTCCAGTTTTTGTATTTGTTTCTTGTTTTGTTCCAGGATCTCGACAATTTTATTGTTCTCATTTTTTATTTCGAACTGTATTTCTTCTTAATTTTTTCTCCCTGTGCTCTTATTAATTTGAAAAGATTTTTTAATAACTCCTTGTCCTTGTTCGATAGGTCGATTGACATATCTATGTTGCGCTAATTTCGGGTATTTAACGCAATTTGATTGGGCTAATTGTTTCTCCTTTCACACGTTTTCAATAACAACGTCTATTCCAAATTGTTCGAGTGTTATTCAACGTACCTTGCTGGTTTTTTTGGTGATGGTAGGAAGTCTTCTGATTCACACTTATACGGAATTTCGTTAAAATATTCCTACTTTTACACCTTCTAGGATAAGAATTACCCGAAAAATTTTCGTTATGACCAACCACCACTTAGTCCGATAAAAATACCAATACACTGTGGAAATGGTCTTCTGACTCATTTCTTTCGACCACAAGATTAGCACAGACTAACTCTACAGCCTCTTTGACTTCTTTCCCACCACGCTTTTTCTTTCGTAATATCCTGCTCAGCGGAAAAGTCACTGCCAATACATCTGTAAGAGAGGCTAGTGTTACTACGAAAGCAGTATTGCTAATGCAGTGTAAAAGTGACAATGCCTTGGTAGCGGCTTCGGTCGCTCTCCGCAACTGCGTATTTGTTCTAGAGCTTCATGTATTTTAGGTAAAGCAGAACAGAACAAAAACACTGTCTCTCTACCCATCTTGCGGTGCAAAGTCAAATGAGTTGCCGCCCTACCTTCTTTTTAAAACACAGTGGGACTAGCCGTAAAAAAAGATATTACAGTCATTATAACGTCAGTTGTGCTCCTTATGTAGATGTAGATGGATAGTTTTCAGAGTCAAGAATTGCAGAAATATTACTTATCCATATATTCTATAGATTCAGGCGATGTTTCACTTTTAAGATAGCCTTCTTGAATATTTGGAGTTGAAGAAATTGAAGTAAACTCCTCTAAAACATTTTGATGAGATTGATAATGGTTTAGTAAGCGCTTGTTGAAAATTTAAACTGTTCACAAGAATACAACTGCAAGTAATGATGTAACATATGCCTCTCCAGTATTTCATACGAGTGACGGGGGATGGGAAGGACAAGCATGTGGCCCTTCCCTTTAATCAGAACGCTTGCGGTACATAGTTTCCGCGCCGAGTCCGATATCTACTCATTGGAAAAAAGTGCATTAGAGCCATCGTATTTTACCGTGGTGATACATAGATACTGCATTTTAATATATGCTGGTAAAAAATAAAAATAAGTTAATAGGTAGTCGGAATCTTTATAACATTTAAATGAATGCCGGTATGAACACAATTTTAAACAATTCAAAAATTTCCAAAACAAAAGGGGAGTTGCAGCCCTCCTGGATCCAACAATGGTACACGTAAAATCAAGATTTGATGCAAAATATGCTGTCATCATAAATCCATCCATTTTCGGTAGATTGTCCGATTGTGCTTTGACAAAACCAGTTTCAGTCATCGTTCTAGATCCACTTCAATTCTAGATTCATTAGAAATCCCACAGGAATACAAGCTTGAACTACTTTTTTCACAAACACTACTAACACTATGAATATCGATGCAGATAAATCCAATGTTGTATCCTCTGACGTCACATTTCTTTGTGACCAATGGTGACCCATTTTGTAAGTTTGAACTTCCCTCCCTTATTTTCCACTTTTTATATAATATTTTTTAGGTTTGAATATTAACAAAATGAAAATATACCTTTCATTTCTTCAATTTTATTCGTAGCTTAAATATGTATGCATTTATTCTTTATTATCATTATAAACATTTGATAGAACTGACCGATACTTGATGAAAATCCATTATAACGTATTCAAAAACACACTTACGTGAGTTTTCAACTTGAAAGTTTACAAAACCGCGGCACGTGTTTCGCTACACGATAGCACTTTCAGGCATCCCAATACTGTTTGCACAAATTCAGTGTCGTGCTTTGTTATTTGTTCCACCCTTCGATTAAATTCACGACTGAGATATAAGTGAATAACTCTATAAATTTTTTTTGGACTTGACGTTTATTCGGGTGCACTGAAGAGTCGAAGGCACTGATCCGTAATTTACCTTATTTTACATGATGCAACCCCATGGTTGCCAACTGCGATAAAAATATGACATTTGATAATTTGACATTTGCTAATGAATGAATAACCTACTTTTCTGAGTTCCTTCTGCATTTTCATTCTTGGGACATAATTGGGACAGACCATCTTATATTTCTTCATAGGTGATTCTTCATACTGGAGTCCCAACTTCATATAGGACGACTGAAAATATCTTTTCTATCATATTCTGGAAATCAGTTTCACATTTATCAAAAATGAAAATGCAGAAGGAACTCAGAAAAATAGGTTATTTATTTATTAGCAAATGTCAAATGTCATTATTTTACCGCAGTTGGCAACTATGGGGTCGCATCATTTAATAAGGTCACAGCTCACAGCATTGTTAACGCTTCGCTTCGAGAGGTGTAACAGTTACACCTCTCGAAGCGAAGCAGTAACTCGTCTTGATAATGCCATCTGAGATGATGGCGAAACGTCGACTATCGAATAGTACACAACACCCGGAAGAACAACACATCATATTCTACCATCCGTGAAAACCTACATTGTAATATATGTATATATATATATATATCCTCGACCATTGTTTCATTTTTCTTACTATATTTAATCCAAAAGTAGCTATTGTGTCTTGGTAGAAACCCATATCCTGTCTGAAGAGAGAGAGAGAGACAGGTAATCTTTGCTCACTAGTTACGAACAAATCCTTGGAGTTATTTGGGATAGCAGCGCTGCTATCCCAAATAACTAGTCGTAACTAGTCAGCAAAGTCTACCTCTCTCTCTCTCTCTCTTCAGACAGGATATGGGTTTCTACCAAGACACTATAGCTACTTTTGGATTAAATACAGTAAGGAAAATGAAACAATGGTCGAGGATCAAGAAAAAATTAGCCAAAGAATATAGCGCTGACAAATCCACTCGTAACGGGAAATTATGGATGCGCAGTAGTCCTAAAAAAATGAAACTGTGACACACATCAAAGGTTCCGACAAGAGTACACCACCGTATAGAATAGAAGTAACGGTTGTAACACTATTGGTTCTGGCTATACTGTGGCAGAGTTGCCAACTGTAGCGAAATTTACTCGACGGTAGCGGCGTAACGGATTTAAACATAAAGTAATGGAATTCTCTACAAATAATCAGTATTGAAAAAAATATGAAAGAAGAGGCTGTAGACAGCACTCGAAGAAGCTGACGCTTGAATAAATGAATGCACAGTCAATACGTTATAGTTTCTGGCGCTCATGTATTCAAAACGTATTCGTCTGTGATTCTAATGCATTCGTTCTGGCACAGATTAAATATTTAGCGTGCGTTCCACTAAGCGTTCACAACGCCTAAAATACTCATTCAGGAGTTCCACATGGCGACCGCATTAATGACGTCATTACTTATGCTCACGCCTAGTTCACGACGACCTATCTCAAGAGGTGGGTCGATGTGAGCGTTTTGAGAAACTGAGCGCAATTTTTAAAACTAAAAGCAAATTGGCCATTTTCCAAAGAGCTATCATCAATTGATGACGGGAAGGAATTGTAGGACATCCGGGAACACGTCGGACTAAATCTTCTTGTATCAGCTCATGTAAATTATTTAATGTACATCTTGAAAGTCTAAAGAGATCAATAAAGAATTCCATGAGTAAAATTTTCAAAATCTATAGTGTATTAAGTGATAAAAAATAATTTACCTGAAATGACTTTTAAATTCTCCATCTGAATAACGAGTAATTACATTATCGTAATCAATAATACATGGTCGTCTAAGTTTTCGCTTTTCACGATTACATTTTTGAAAAATTGTATTCCATTCTTCTTCTGAGCTGGACGAACTAGTACTTTGTGGAGCATTATTTCGACGCACCAACAAATTTCGAACTACCGCCGTAAGAGGCATTTTTATTATATACGAACATAAATTAGTTAAAGTATATACATAATTTTTGTTTAATAAATCATGTTAACCAACAATTAATAGAACTTATTGATACCACTTACAAATTGTAGCTTAACCTCATCAACTTTTTGTTTTGTTTTTTTAAACGCGCCATGTGTATTATTTAAATGAACGCTCAAAACGCTCCAAAATCCATTCCACTTGAGTTAATGATTGTGACGCCCAGAACCAAGTGGAACGGCAAAAACCGTGGTCGTGAGCGTGGTCGTTGTGAGTGCTTAGTGGAACGCACTCTTAATCTGTGGTTTTGGCGTTGAAATGATGACGTCACATTTACTATGATTTGAAACGTATTCATGATGATTCAAAACTAGAGTGAGGTTGGTTATGGAACGGAATTTGACGTTACGTTACGTCAGTTGTCAGTTCCTGCCGTATTTTGATCGTTATAGTTTATAGTTTATAATATGCTGAAAACGTTTTTCAAATACGTTGTAAGGATGTACAAAATAAATCTGGGAAATTATTACTTGCACAATCCGATTCTAATTGATGTTAAAGAAAATAGAAAATGTTTTTTTTTATTTTGATTTTGACATCTGACACAAATTGAATCATTTCATTCTGGCGAATCTTATTATTAATGACGTCACTAAGAATCGTTTTTCAATACACGCTCGAATCCGATTTAACGCCAAAAAACACCTCTAATAACCTTTAATATCTAGAAACTGAAAGTCTCGACTGTCTCGAGTATTATAAATTATATGGAACAAATTACAGTGGAAATGGAAGATAGTTCATCTGATTGTAGCTGGAGCAAAAGAGCTACCGCAGTTGAAATTAACGGGAACGGGACATGTTCAAAAAAATACAAAAAGTCTCGAAATCAAACTTTTTCTCAACATTGGTTGTCTGATTGAAAGGATGAATTAGACCTTTCGCGAATGATCGTTCAAGAGCTCAGTGTGACAATACGTACGTGAACAAATTGATATTTATTTTTACTTTTCAAAATCATTATTTCAAGCTAAGAAATATTTGGTCGAGAAGACAGCTTTCAAAAATTAACTGCTGTAAATTTAGAAAATTAGGTACCATCTACTGAGTTGCGCGGTTGAAAATTAGCATTAATTTAATAGTAATAAAAAATATATATATCACTCTGAGGCATGATCCTGATACCTGACATTAGTGACAGTTCAGTTTTGTGGTATCTGAACGTTACACGAACTACAAACTGTAAGTTCTGTGGTATTTAATTTTGGATAGGGCGCATGCGGGAACTGATTGCGTCAGATATACAAGCGTAGCGAAATATGAAACAGTCTAGCCGCTAGCAGAATTTTGGTTCATGCAATGCACCGTATAGAACAGTGGTTTATGTGTGCGACTTATTGCTGTGCCACCGTATAGAAGTGTTTACTTCTATACGGTGGCTGTGCTTACAGTTCAGCCAGTTGGCAACACTGTACTGTGGTTAGGTTGTTATTGAGATATTGGAAACCAACGATCATACATACAGTTCATATGTTAATAACTCAAAATTATGTCTGGCATTTTATTTGCCAGTGAAAACTACATTTTAGAAGAAAATATGCAGTTAACTATTAAAAAGGAAATGGATATATCAGGAACTGAAATATTGTGTCGAGTTTGCAGTAGTATATGTGTTTCTTCTTTTCCTGTAGACTCTAGAATATGTCATTTTACAACAACTATAAAGGATGTGATAGTACTTTTGGTTCCACAAATGGTGAGAAAACCTACATAATATGAAGGGGAAATGAACAGGAGTCTGAGATCAAAAGCTTTATTGACCAAGTGTGGATTCATGCACCAGTCTTGAGTCGTATATCACAAATTTTAAGTATAGGATAAAGAAAATAACTTTTGTCTAATTTCTACTAAGATTTTTATTCATTACGACCCGTTTGTTAAATCATTTTCAGTTTACTTGTTTGAATTTACTTGAAAATGGTTTAACAAACCGAAATCAGTCGTAACAAATAAAAATCTTAGTAGAAATTAGACAAAAGTTATTTTCTCCCTCCTGTATTCAATATGAATTTCTACAAAATAAATAGGTCATCAATTGAATAAGCAAGTTATAAGTCTTTAAAATTCATGTTTTCAGTTTGTTACTGATAAAAACTTACAACTAATGCACATAGATATAATTTTTGTTTAGGGTTGAATTTTTATTGAAGTTCTAGGATTACCTAGTTTCTAGAAAGGTATTAATTTAATCTTATGTTGAAGTTATAAGTCATGTGTAATAAATTGTGAGAAATGGGAACAATTAATCGCAAAACCTGAATTCTTGAGACTGGTGCATTAATCTTCCTTCAGTTTATAAATACCAATTTGGTTGAAGAAACTCATCAGAAATTTTCTGTTGAATTGAAAGAAGTACTTGTCTACAGTCTCAAGTGAATTTTTTTGTGCGTCTATATCTATTACTCTACCAGTACTACCTGGAAAAATATTACTCAGCTTAGGGTAAAAAAAATGAATTACCTGGTTATTTCATTTGGAGAAAATTTATTTACAATTGCTTCAAGAAACCCTACTGGAAACAAACACAGTTCTTTTCAACTATGGTATCCGAAGACTATCAAACTAGGTATACATATTTTTTTGAAAGGATCTCATTGATGTCCCATGATGAAACAGCTAACAGAATAGTATGCAAGAAACATATTTTTCTTACAAAAAAATAAAGGGGGTCTTTTTAAATTTATTCAAGAACATGTTATTTGATTTCAGAAATAAAAATCAAATGAATACCTTCATGTTTTATATCCAGGTCTGAAAAAAGTGACACCAGTGTAAAATTTCTATATGAATTAGTATATGAGATAACTGATTTTATAAGAAAAAAAGTAAAGTTTAAATTATGATTTTCTTTACATTTATTACCTTTGATAACTTGAAAACTGAATGCTCTAAAAATCAGAAATTTTATATTTTTAATATTCTTTGTGGGGTAGTATTAGCAAACCTAAAATTATAAAATTCCAAGAAGTAATGTTTCAGGTCACTGGTAGATATAACATTGAATGATCCCAGAAATAAAGATTTGTAACATTTACCAAAGATCAAAGTGACAAGAACCAAACATCAAACAGACTGTCTTTCATTGAAAATATATAACATTCTACCTATTAAATGGAAATTCTATTGTAGTTAAAACTTGAAATAAAATGTTCATTGATTAGCCAGGTTTTTCATATCAATGATGTTTTTCAACATGATCAGTGTTTATATGTTTTATTTTACAATTGTTTATGTGAATAAATAATATGTTGGGTTTCTAAGATTTTATGCGTGCATTGTTTTAAATTATGTGGCGTCTGTTACAGAAATTTGTATTCAGAGGTAAAGAAAGGATCTATCTATCTATCAATCTTGAAGGAGAATTAGAAAAATAAAACATTTCGTCTGTAGCGGCAGAGGAAACATTTGGTACTACCACAGCCTACCAGCCTGTAGTTTGTTCATTCTAATCATATATAAAAGGATACTATATTGAAAAACAAAAGTTTGTGAAGAAAAAATCCTACTTTTTGTAAAAAATCAAATGCTGATCTTACATTCAAATATGAAATCATATTGAAACTTATTCACTATCTTATGAATATTAGTCAATAACTTTCTCAAGCAAGCAAAAAACAATTTATGCTTGAGGAAGCTATTGTATAGAGAAACACGCGTCGAGGTTTTTGTAAAACCCTTTATAGTGAAAATCATACAGTAAACTGTATTGAGCCAGTTTTATTCAATTAGTCATACCTAGATAGAAGTAAATTATTTTTCATTCGGTATTCACTCTGGCACTTCCAACATCAAATTTATTCGAGTTAATCTGGCATGATTCAGTAGAATTCTTATTTTTCTAATTTTGAGGTATAAATTGAAACTCTTAATTTTTTTCATGTTATTTCCATAACCAGCCACCAACATTTTTACTTCTCATTACTGTTTACGAAAAGATGTCAAGAGGATTGTATCGATCTTCTATCTATTTATTGAAGTTATTTAAGGATACATATCCATAGATGTTATCACGGATTTTTTAAATTTTTTGGGTATCACAATATAAGAGATTTTCAGCTGTCATTTTCTTTTCCTAACTGGTAACAAATAGTTATTGCTCAAGGAACATTTTATTCCACAAATTATTATAGCAAAAATAATACAAAACAATACAAAGACAGTTTTATTTTGATAATTGAAAATTAAAATATATCATAAGTTTGCAAGTAACTAAATTTTATTGTATATCATTATTCACGTTTTAACTTTTGTAGGAAACTGTACTGGAGGGAAAAGATGTAATATGCCATGTTTGTCGTGAAACCTTGATACATTGTCTAAAATTTATTGATAAATGTCTACGTATCAAGGCTAACCATAAGGATAACCTTGTGTACAAAAAAACACCTGAAGATGTTTCATCTAGAACAAATTTGGAAGGTAATGTGCAGTTATAAATTACACTTTGTTCGTTATGTAGCTAAATTTAATAATTTTGCGCAAAAACAAGTAAGTCAAATGACATTAAAATCTGGCAATTACAACTCTCAAACACTGTTTTCTGTTGTTAAGATCGATGTGATTATTGAAATTCAAAGACTTTTGGTAGGCTACATTTTGTCATGTTACCCAGTTGTATTTATCATATGTTACAAACCAATAATGCATTTTTCACGATTGATTCAACACCATTATATATATATGTTCTAATTTCCAGTCTGCCAAAATACTTGAATCTAGACCCTTTACTCTTTTTTGTTGTGATTATGATGCCAAAACATGATTCATTCTGAAGACAAACCAAGCCATGGTTTATAGGTATGTACATTAAGATAACTTTTCGTCAATGTTTTCAAAGAAGTTTTTCCTTCTTGTTGGAAGACTGCCCGAGTTTAGTATATACCTAGCGAGGGCAAGAAAAATCTTCCTAATAACTATAGGCCTGTTGCTTCATTATCAATGATTTCGAAAATCAATGGAGAAAGCTGTTATTCAAAATATTCTGGAATATTTGGAATGTTGGAATAATATATCAAAAGCAAGCTACAAGTTCTCTTGTACTTTGAGTGTAATTTCTTCATGCAGTTGAAACTAGTCATGTTTGATCATCTAAAAATCTAAACTATCCTGACCATCTTTAGAAATTATTTTCTTACAAGTTTTCATTTTCAGTTATTTTTGCTTCATTTCTGTTTGACTGTTCAAAATTAATTCTGCTTTCCTGCCATAAATTCGTTCGACTTTTGTTGATATAAGGTTTAACCCGCTGTTGTTTCTGCTTCCCTGCCATAAATTCATTTGTCTTTTGTCGATATAAGGTTTAACCAGCTGTTTTTTCCGAATGGCAACCCGCAAAAATGAACACTTATGCGAACTTAAGATTAACGGTTTCCTCACCTTTCAACATGCAATTCCAGACATGGAAATTTTTGTCCTTGTTCATCCTTTCCAAGACTTTCAGACTGTATGGAATTTTGTTCATAACAGCTTCACATTTTTACGATGGACTTCTCTTTAAATTTGCATCAGTATGCTAGTGATCTTCTGCAAATGGCGCTTTTCTGCTATTTATAGCTTCAAGAAGAAGTTATATATTTTTTATGGAGATCCAAGAAAAAACTTAAGACCCTCCGAGGTAGCATATGTGAGAAAGTGATGACTTAAGTTGAATATAAATAGCTTTATATTTAAAAAACATCTACTCAAAGAAATTCTCCAAATGAATGATTTTTTGACAAATGTAATTTTAGTTGTATTTAATTAAACCTCTAAACGGCATCTTTAGTTTTTTTGCATACTTCTAATGTGTAACACTCTCGCTGGAATCAAGTGGGCTAAGTCAGTCACAAACAATATTCCAATTTTGTGGATTTTACACAAGGAATAGTGGGTGGTGTTTTTTTTTGAAAATCAAGAATGAAAATTTAAATTCTTTATCACTATTATGCGTTAATGGTGGAATTGTGGACTTTTGAAATTTTGAATAGTCTGAATAGTCAAAGCTTAGCAAACAAAATTAACATTCTAGAATTATTCTGTAACATCCACGACCCAAGCTTCCTCTGTATATCCGAGCACTGGATGAGCGAAGATCAAATGAGATCCACCATCATATCAGGCTACCAACTTATCTCTAGTTACTGTAGGA